TGGGAGGGTAGGAAGGGATTTTCCTGTCTCCCATGCATATTGCAACTCAAGTGCATAGAACAGGCTATTAAAAAAAGCTACCGGACATACTTTTGGACTTCTTAGATTCATATTGAGCAAGACGCTCTTCTCTCAGTCTCTTTGATTCTTCACTTTCCTGAAAGAGAAAAAACAGATTCACAACAAGGCAAAGACAGACATTCTTTATCCACTATTAATAAAAGTAGACTGGCTTTTAGTCAGATAAAAACAAATCATCACAAGATCAGCCGAAAGATGGTGATTTGGTTTTATTCATCATGTAACCAGTTAGTTAAAAATAGGCACTTCATGCAAACTTGCTAGAAGTTCACAAAACTCCTACCATCTTTATGTGACAAAGGCTGAGCATAGCTTGCAATACACAAGAGTGGGGTCTGTACTTATCATTTAAGCATTTTTTCTAATACTCCAACAGAATAGGAAAACAATTTAACTTAAATGTGATCTTAAGTTGTTGCTTTAATAAGCCCATTAAAAGTTTACTAGAATTTTGTAGTAAGATTCCTTCGTTGCTTCTGTCACCTAAAAATGTTTCTGCATCCTTAGAACAAAAATATTCCTAGCATGAGAATGGAATGAAAAAAAAGCTTAAATACATGGATGGTACTGAGCACTTGGCAGACTATCGGTAAAATTTTCATGAGCATCTGAGACAGATTTCTAAGTGCCTAAGTCATTTAGGTTACTGAAAATTTTACTCTATATTTAGTCTTGCCCATGGACATTCCTGTTGATCCAATGGACATATGAAAAATGCTTTCTACTTTAGAAGTTTAAACCATGTAAAAAAAATCACTCTGAAGACCAGAGTCCTTTACAGATCAGGTCAACAGCTTACAAGAGATTTCCCCTCATTTCCTATGCAAATTTCCATGAGTAAAATGCTTTTCCTCAGTTTAATTTTTACTACTGCTCCAGTAGAGTTCATACCTATTACAGTAATATGTTTGTCAGTACCCCATTAGCTATTTATCTCCTCACAGGTTCTTTCCTGTTTATCATGCAAAGTCAGATGCATTTCAGGGCTCTGATAATAAATTTCTGGAGTATTTCAATCAAATTATGATCTTTTAAAAACAAAAAAACCCAAAAATTCACAAATCTATTTCTTAAGAAAAAATATCTCAGTACCTCCTCCTCATCAGATCCAAAGAGATCAATGTCATCATCATCTTTGCTGTCTGTGGTTGCACCTGTGGAGTCTTCAACATCAGCAGGACCATATTTCCCCAAAGCCTTCTTTACTCCTGGCAAACTAAAGAAGTGGCAAAATAATATTAGTTTAAAATGAATATACTCCTAATTTCAGATACTAACATTTTTAAGATCAGTGAACCTACAGTAACAATTACTTGTGGTAGCAATGAAGTACACTAGAGTTTCAAAAGTGAAACACCAGAACAATCCCAAAAGCGCACTCACAGCACAGCATGATAAACTGACAATTATTATAGTGAATCCCATGTGCATAGGCAGCTAAATGGCATACTGTTTTTGTCCTTGCTAACAGCATTTCCTACAGTATACCACTTAGCAGCAGCCAACCAAAATGAAGCACTTGTCTGGAATGTTGCCCTTGGGTGCTTTGATAAGTTTTGCTTTTCTTTTCAATGTGCAGAGATGTTACAGAATATATCCTCAGAGAAAGATTAGTGGTTGTTGAAACAAGTTATAATTAACAATATACTGTGTCTCATTAACAAAGTAAAGTTCCCTACTTTCCACCCAAATGCTTCCTTGAAAACCTTTGCTTTTGGTGGAGGATTAACAGCCGCTCAGTAGGCATGGTGATGAGTAAAGCTAGCTTTGTCACAGAGTAATTAATTCTGTGATTTTGGTGTTTTAGTGAGTGCTAAAAGCTATGGAGCTGTTTGAGAATTAGCTTTTCTAATACCTAACATATAACCATAAGCAGGTTTGTATGTTATTTCAGAAGAACCAACAGAACCTGTTTGGGACTAAGTACTGTACTTCTGAATCCCAGACACATCAAATAGCTCCATCTACTGCTTGAAAATATATATACTTCAGCCTACAGTTTTCCACAGCCTCCTCAAAGGTAGAGTACCTCATTTTGTTTACTTTTAACTAGGACTTACTTTGTGCTGTCTTTTTTCTAATGGTGGCTACCAAAGCCATAAGAGTGTGGTCTGTTATTTTAAGCTTTTATTTCTATTTGTGACTATTTGCATTTTTATTAGACTGCTATTTCTTATGAACTGCAGTGACAGAATACTAGCCTTAGTGATTACACTCTTCTATATTCACTTCTGCTTTGAATTTGGTTAGACTGGCACTAGTTAGATGTAGTTACCATATCAGAATTTTTCGTGAGCTTTGTGAAGTAAGATTACAACTTCAGTCTAGTTCCAAGTAGAGAAACCACCTCAAGTGGTATAAATCAGTGGTAGCATCAAAAAAGCCAAAGGTCAGGAGACTGAACCACTCAAGTCTACAGGAGGCTCCCCCCAGAACAGGGTAGAGGCACAATGGTGAGGCAGTGTGAAGGTGCATACACTGACACTGCCTATGCTGTACCTTTTCTAGAGGACTTCAGTCTCCATGGCTGTCAATGCGGCAACTTTCATGAGCACTAAATTCACTAAAAGAGAAAAGAATAGATTTGCTTTCACATTTCCCCCTTATTTTCAGGCCTCTTTGCAGGTCACTATTTAATTTGGTTTAAGCTTTCAGGGCGATTGTTTGAATGAAAGGGCTCCCAATATATAGTCGATCATTTTGTTTATTAGTATTCCTATCTCAAGCTACACTTTGGGCAAAAAAAAGAAGCTGTGTACGTATACAAGTTTCAAATTTAAATCTACAGGGGCTTGATTGTATGGAATTTGTATTGGGGTATGGTTCAAATCTAGCCCAGGTGGTATCAACTTTAAATTACTATTCTGATAATCTACATGAGGTCAGTGTCATTCTAACTCCTAGAGCTAAGGGGCTACACCGGTGGTTCTCAACCTATTTACCGCTGTGGGATGCATCTGCAGCTCTCACTATTTTTATGTGGGCCACAACTGTGTGCTGATGAGGCCACAAGCAGCCGGTGGGTTGAGAACCACAGTCTACATAAAAGCATCACCACAAATGGTGCCTTGTTGAAGTTTAAGCAGCCATCCCAACAACTGAGTGGGTATGAAGACAGAATTAACTTCTTGACATTTAGATCAGAACTGAGGTGCATTAGCAAGACAGTGTGGAAGGTTTACACTCCTGCCTGCATTGTACTAGTTCTATAGATAAATAAAGAACTCCCTTGTTCAGAGCTATCAAGCATACACTTTTCAAAAGCAAAGAGGCTCAAACAAACTTTAAGACAAAAAGCTAGGTAAACTGCTGGCTACAATCCCAACAAAACACAACAGACTTTGTTCAAAAAAAATCAAATGGAAACTGCAAAGCTTATGATGTTTAACTACTCTCCTATAAATATAAATTGATGTCTGGTGCATTAAGTTCAGCATACCTTGCCTTTTGCTTTTCATATGACTTAATGTGGTTGTACCAGCGGAGAGCATGGAACAAGTCAGCAGGAGGCGGCGTAGACAGTGCTTCAAAAACGGCAATGTCAGCCTGAGAGGGCACATACCTATGGAAAAGAACACATTCCAATAGGAAAACGAATTGATTTTTGTAATGTACCAGTTATAACAGAAGTTGTGAGAGAAATAACTTGCAGCTTAACAAGTCACTTGGCTAGGTCTTCCCTGCAGAAGACACTCATGGCTGCTCACAGGTTAGCCGGGCTCAAATGAGAATGGCCACACTGCCCAGCCCTCAGACGCCTATGTCCACAGTACCACTGCCCTGGTGCAGGACACCCAAGGGGCCGGGCCAGCGAGAGTTACCCCCACACCGGCGTTAAGGACTTTTGCTTGTGGCTGGGATTGGCGCTGGAGACAATACCCGAGCTAATGGGACAGCGAAGGCCAGCTTTCCCTGCAGCCGGATCACAAGGACACTACATCTGATGAAGTGAGCTGCAGCTCACGAAAGCTCATGCTCAAATAAATTGGTTAGTCTCTAAGGTGCCACAAGTACTCCTTTTCTTTTTGCGAATACAGACTAACACGGCTGTTCCTCTGAAAGGACACTACACACACTGCAGAGGTTCCCCCATCCATCCCGCAACCACCAGCGGCGCAGGCCGGGACGGGGGAGCGGCACGGCGGCCAGGTGGCTCTGGGGTTATTACCCTCGGGCTTCCACCCTGACGGGGCAACGGGCTCAACGGCCGTTCGGGAGCGGGGGCAGCCCGCGCGGGCCAGCGGCCAGTAACGCCCCACACGCAAGCCGGCTCGAGACACCCCGCGTCGCAGCAGTGCCCAGGGTTTAGCGGGGGAGGGGCCGTTCGTTCGTTCGCCCGGCAACCGCCGAGCGCGCGGGCTCGCTGCGCCCCCCACCGCCGAGGGTCGCGCGCCGCTGCACGGGGCTCTAGCCGCCGCCGCCGCTCACCCCTCGATGTAGCTCTTGTCGGCCAGGAAGTCGTTGAGGAGCCGGAGGCCGGCAGCGGATCTGAGGTTCCCGAAGCCCATGATGATGGCGGCAGTACAGCACACAGACAAACAGACCACCCCACTCGCACCCGCCGCAGAAAGAGAGCGCCGCCCCACCGCGCAGCATTTATATAGAGTGCGTTGTATCCCTCCGCCACACCGCCGTTGCTGGCGTGAGATTATCCCTCCGCGGGGCAGCACCTAGAAATAACCCCCCCGCCACACACACCACCTAGTACAGGGAGCCGGGCGGATTGGAAATGAAACTAGAAGGACGGAAATGTAGTGAACGGCTAATAATGAGGATGTTCCGGGAGGTTCCACGGCGGCTAATTTTCGAAAGTCGCCACCGCCAGGGCGTGAGTGACGGAAGTTGCCGAGGCCGCTAGTGACGGAAATTGCCGAAGGTGCCGCCGGGGGGCGACGGAAGTTGCCGAGGCCGCTAGTGACGGAAATTGCCGAAGGTGCCGCCGGGGGGCGACGGAAGTTGCCGAGGCGGCCGCCATAGTAGCTAGGTGAGAGAGCTGCGGAGCGTTTTCTGGTTCAGAAGAGCCAAGCGGTGCAGCGGGTGCTGCTGCTGGTCCCCGCAGTACAAGGAGGTAACGCGGGCGGCTTGTTAGGAGTGTTCCTGCCCCGGGGCCAGGCCCCGTGCTGACGCGGGGTTCGAAGTTCCCTGCTCGGGGCTGGGGCTGCGGCTGGGGCGGGGGATGATTCCCCCCTGTCCCGTGGATGCCCTTGACGGGCTCCGGCTCCCTCGGTCCCGGTGGCGGCTGCGGCTTGGGGGCCTGCCCTTGTCTGTGCTGGCGCCGAGCAGGTGACCCGGCCCGTTAGGCCTCGCACTGGGGTTCGTGGCGTTAAATAAGCCAGCCCTAGACTCTTCCCCGCCTGCTGCCTGGGGGGTCCCAGGGGGCGCCCGGAGAGATTGGGGGGCAGCGCCGGTGGGACACCCCCCCACCCGGGGCCGCTCTGAGAGCCTGCGGGGGGTTACAGTACAGGGGGTCCCAGAGAGGTGCTCGAGTGACACATGAGGCCAGGGTCTCCAGCGGGGCCCTGGCCGGCTGGGAGCAGAGCCCGGGTCTCCTCCTGACCCCTAGAACTTGTGCATTCCCAGGCCTGATCCAGGTCCCTCGTTGTCATTGTTTATCCCCCAGCCGCACCCAGGGCCCTTACTGGGGTGTTGTGCGCTGTTGTATGTAGTAGGGCATAAGGCCGGGAAAGTGGCACTGACAGGACAAGAGTTTTGGACAGTAACAGTGTGTGTGTCCCTTTTAAAAACCCACAAATGACAGGGTTCTGCCTCAGGTAGCTTACAGTCTAAAGCTGCAATCCTGCAAAGATTCACACCCATTCTTAACTCTACACTTATGAATAGTCTTGTTGAGGTTACATAGATGAGCTTTTGCAGGATCAGGGTGTATACTGGACATAATTCAGCAAGGCTTGTCAGTAAACAAAAGCAGAGGTGGAGGTTTTGTATGGTAAGGCGAGGGTTACAACTGTGAAAGATCAAGAGATGCTTTTTTTTTTGAGGTCTTATTACAAAGAATTGATTTAATTTTAAGGAAGAGTTCTCAATGACCAAACTGAGTGAAAAGCCAAAAGTAAACAGCATACATGAAGAAAAGTAAATCTTGTTTTACAATTACAATTTATTAAACAAAGCTTTAACAATCAGTAGTTATGGTTAATAGCACAAGGAGAAATATTAAGAACGTTATTTTAGGATTATAGTTAATAGTGTTCCTTTAACCTCGTGGCACAAGAATATGAGGATTAGGGATGAAAGATTCTCAGGCCTACAAAGTTAAGTCAATTTTATGTAAATTGATGTTGAGCCTCCGATTTAAGCAAGTCGATCTTCCGTGTCCCCACTTTGCTCATTGTGTTGGCGGAGTGCATCCTCACTAGCAGGGCTTGCATCAATGCGCTGTTGGTAGCTATCCCACAGTGCATGTAGCAGAGTGAAATTTTGTGTTGGGTTTGCAATGCCTTATGGGACCAAAACATTTGCATGGGTGGTTATGGAAACAAGGCGTTAGCCTCCCATGATGCACTTACCTCCCTTCCTCCCTCCCTGAAATCAACGGCAAACAAACCAAGCCTTTTTCGCGCCTTTTTCATAAACTTGGGTTATCCGTGCAGATGCCATATCATGGTAAGCATGGACCCTACTCAGCTGTACACTGTTGTTGTGAGCATTACAAACACCTCGCGCCTTATCCTGCGGTATTTACACAGCTGATACAGGAGCCGCCGCACAGAACAATGTGATGCCATGCAAGCAGCCCTGCTGGAAGCCATAGAGCGGAGCAATTCACAGTTGCTGGCGACAGTCACACATCACTTTGACACGGCTGAGTGCCTCTTTTGGACCAGGGAAACAAGCACTGACTGGTGGGACCGCATCGTTGTGCAGCTATGGGATGATGATCAGTGGCAGCTGCTCTGACAGTGAAGAAGCAAGTAGCGATTGCTCTGTGGAAGCTTGCAATGCAGACTGCTACTGGTCCATGGGGAAGCAATTTGGAGTGGGTAAATCTACTGTGGGATCTGTTGTGATCCAAGTTTGCAGGGCAATCAACAGACTTCCATTAAGAAGGGTAGTGACTCTGGGCAACATGGAGGACAAAGTGGATGGTTTTGCGGCGATGGGGTTCCCTAACTGCGATGAGGCTATAGACAGAATGCATATCCCTAACTTGGCACCATACCACCTTGCCAAAAAGTCCATAAACCAAAAGGGATACTTCTCAATGGTGTGGCAAGCGTGGGTGGATCATGGGCCATTTCACCGACATCAACATGGGATGGCCGGGAAAGGTGCATGACGCTCGCATCTTTAGGAACTCCAGGCTGTTCGAGCAGCTGCAAGAAGGGACTTACTTTCTAGACCAGATAATTACTGTTGGGGATATTGAAATGCCAATAGTTATCCTTGGGGACCCATTTGCTACCCCTTGCTCCCATGGCTCATGAAGCCATACACAGGCAGCCTGGACAGTAGTAAGGAGTGGCTCAACTATAGGCTGAGCAAGTGCAGAATGGTGGTAGAATGTGCCTTTGGATGTTTAAAAGCTCGCTGGCACTGTTTGCTGACAGGTTAGACCTCGGCGCAACCAACATTCCCATTGTTATTGCTGCTTGCTGTGTGCTCCATAATATCTGTGAGAGTAAGGGGGGAGACGTTTATGGCGGGGTGGGAGGTTGAGGCAAATCCGAACATTGCTTGAATGACCCAGGACCATTCGCTGCCATGCTTTGTGCTGCTATGATTCCAGACTACTTGCTACTGGCTTGGCGTGGTAAAGTGTCCTACCTTGTGGAGAACGAAATAAGGCAGCCGTCCCCAGAAACCTTCTGCAAAGGCTTTCAGAATACCTCCAGGAGAGCTTCATGGAGATGTCCCTGGAGGATTCCTGCTCCATCCCCAGACACTTTAACAGACTTTTCCAGTAGCTGTACTGGCTGCGAATTCATCACAATTCTTCAGAACAAATCAAACATTAAACACAATTGCTTTTAAACCCTGTAGTGTAGTTATAAATGTGCACTCACCAGAGGTGCCTTCTCTGGCTTCGGGGTCCGGGAACCCGCTCTGGGAGGGTATTGGATGCAGGGTGATGAAAAGGTCCTGGCTGCTGGGGAGAACGGATTCTCCGCTTGCCTTCTGCGCGTTCTCCTCCTCTTCCTCTTCCTCATCCACAAAATCCTCCTCCCTGTCGCGTGAGACTCCCCCCTTGCAGGTGTCCACGGACAGTGGTGGGGTAGTGTTAGGGTCCCCCCGTAGAATGCCATGCAGCTGATCATAGAAGCAGCATGTATGGTGTTTTGACCCAGAGTGACCGTTTGCCTCCTTTGTCTTTTGGTAGGCTTGCTTCAGCTCCTTAACTTCCATGCAGCACTGCTGTGTGTCCCTGTTGTAGCCTCTCTCCACCATGCCCTGTGCGATTTTTGACATATATATTAGCATTTCTTCTTTTTTGATCGGAGTTCGTCCTGCACGGATTCTTTTCCCCATACAGCTATCAGATCCAGTGTCTCCCGTTCGGTCCATGCTGGAGCTCGTTTGAGATTCTGAGACTGCATGGTCACCTGTGCTGCTGAGCTTGCTATGCTGACCAAACAGGAAATGAAATTCAAAATTTCCTGGGGCTTTTCCTGTGTACCTGGCTAGTGCGTCAGAGTTGAAAGCGCTGTCCAGAGCGGTCACATTGGAGCACTCTGGAATAGCTCCCGGAGGCCAATACCTTCGAATTGCGTCCGCACTACCCCAAATTTGACCCAGCAAGGTTGATTTTTAGCACTATTCCCCTCGCCAGGGAAGAGTACAGCAGTCGATTTTAAGAGCCCTTTAGGTCGATGGAACAGGGTGGGTTGTGTAGACGCATTGCTTATAAAATCGACCTAACACGGCTAAATTTGACCTAACCTCATAGCATAGACCAGGGCTTAGAAAACAACTTTGAAGTGTTTTGTTGTGGGGCAAGAAAACAAAGAATACCATGGACTTGCAAATATGTGAGGGGAAAAAAGGAAGTTGAATATAGAACCTGCCATGAGGACAATGTCCATTTTAGTACTGCAACAGTGTTTTGTACCCTTGGAAAAATAAAATGGGTTACATTCTAACTCTGAAATACTCTTCACTCTTTTTATCAAGTTTCTATGATCACTTGAATCTTGTCTCATAGCTTAGCTTCTGAGGGCTTGTCTACATGGTACCACAGACTGTGATTCCATGTAGCCAAGTCCTAATTCTCTTACCTTTCATTCTTCGTAAAAGAATGGACTTCATTCAACTTTCAAACTCCTTGGCTTTGGAGGATAGTGTTGTTATGAGGGTAGTGAGTCACTCCAAACTACAGACCAACTATTTTGTAGTTGGGTGATACAATGAGATGTTTATATGTATTTAGGAAGCTGCGGTAGCCCAATTCAGACTGACGCTAAGGAGAAACAAACATTCAGTTTAAAAACAACAACACATCAGAAACAATTAATTACAAATAGTGCTTTTCCAAGAGCAGTCTTTTCTTTCCGCTTCCTTTCTTTTTTTCTTATTCTTCTGTCATTTCTTCCTTTGTTAAAGTAATCTGTTTTAGTCTGTGAGCGGTTTATGGAAGAGATTTTGTCATCCTACCTTTTTTCTGTAAAGTGACATGCATGCTAATGGAAACACTCTTATTTTGATAGCTTCCCTGTTAGTTTGGAATATGAAGCCAGCATTGACCAGTTGGTGGGGGCACAAGACTGAAAATCAAGAGACATTGGCTTTTTATGCATCCTTGCTATTGATTCACAGTGTGACCTGTATTAAATCTCTTGGGCTCACATGTTCAAAAATGTCCACTAACTTTGAATGCCTCAGTTTTTGGGGCACAATTTTCAGAAGAGCAGTACTCACATTTTACTCTCGTTGGCGTAAGCGGATGCTCAGCACCTCTGAAACTCTAGCCTTAGGCTGTGTTGAGTTAGGCACTCAGAATTAATGGGCACTTGAAAATTTGAGCTTGAGTGATTTGCCCAAGGCTATGGAGGTAATCATTGTCAGAGCCAGGATTAGAACTCAAGAATTCTTGGTCCTGTCATCTACACATTGCTTTGGACATATAATACAAAAGTTTTTGTAATTTGTATGGAACAGTCTCGCATACAAATTAAAAATTTAAGATCTGGAGAAATCATGGCAGATTGATTTAAATTAAAGCTGATTTAAATCACCCTTTTTAATCATGATTTAAATCAGTAAGCAGATTTTGATTTAAATCCATCGATTTTAATCATGCTTTGTATTTGCATTTTTTAGTTGCTTTCCTTTATTAAAAAAAAAGTTGATTCTTATTGGTTGGTAACTGTTAAAACATGCTGATTTTCAGCTAAATATAGCCTTTACTCTAAATTTGTTGCTTCTTTTTGATATCCAGCAGAATACGCTATATCTAAACACACATATTTAAGCAGTTATATCGCTTAACTTCTTACTAAATTTTTTTTGTTTTGTTTTTGTTTTTTGCTCTGTGTGTTTACGCTCTATTTGGATGGAAATTCAAAATCAGGGCACAAAAACATTTTAATATTGTTTAAGAGAAAAAGTTTATCAAAACATGTTTTGCATTTAATACTAACTTCACTAAACAAAGGAAGTATTATCTGTAGCTAGTGAATTGAACTGATTGTTTCTGGCCACCATGTCCTTCAAGATTTTAGAACTAGTAGATCTCATTCTCACATCTAGTATTTAGTCATAGATTGGAAAAGGAAAACAAGCTTGCCTGCTCTTACAACCTGCAGGTGCTTTCTTAACTTTGAGTGTACTAGTCATTAAACTGAGCTAGTTGAACAAACTGAAATGAAAAATGTGTGCTTTCTGTGCCTGCAGAAGGTGGCACTGTTGTCAAAAGCTGGGGTAGCACTTCAACAAACTCTGGTTCCTGATGCTTAGTCATTAACTTCCACCTGTTCAGTTGTTGACTGTCTTTAAAACTTGGCACAAAGATACTGCTTAATATTTTTTGTATTTAATTTAAATTATTTCAACATAATATAATATATAATTTAGGCCTAACATAGATGTTAACTTCATATTTAATTTTAAATAGATTTGTTTTTAAAAAATAAGCCTGTATTTAATTTAAATTATGTATTTTTATCCACCTTCATAGAAATATCAGGATAGATCTTAATTGCTAAAATTTAACCCACTAACTTCTCTTGTATTAATTTTCAGCATCATGCTGCGACTACCTGCTGTCCGCAGGGCCTTAGCTGGTGTCACTCAGTCCACCAAAGGATGTGGTGAGTCTGCCTGCATTTTATAGACAAGTGCATGAGAATCCTTTCCCTGCTTATACAGAGTGATACAATGCACGTAAAGAAGGCATTGTATATTGAGGTTATTATACAAATTTCCTACCATTCTCTGGGTTTTATATAGTGCTCTTGTTGCTGGTGGTGTTTGGATTGTACTAGCTATTATAGTTGTTTTTATAAATACAAATAACTAAGCACCCATCTTAGGCTTTGGAAGCTTTTACATATCCTGAAGTTAACAATGTTAAATAATGTGAAACATCCCTCAATAAGTTGCTCATACTACACTACCCTTTATTATTAACATTAACTTGCCAACAAACATAACAATAAAATCCTTGTACCCCTCAACCTGCATGCTTTCCAAATGCATTGAGGAGAAAAAATGGACTTTTGGTATGGCTGGAAGGTAACAACAAGTCTGGCTTTGTAAGAGCCCAATAGGAAGTGAATTCCATAGCCAAGGGGCCTTCATGGAGAACGCCCTGTCTGCGGCTCCCTCCCATTTAAAGCTACACTGAATCATGTGAAAGAAGAATGTCTTGACTGTGATTGGTACTAATGTCCTTTAAAATTTCCCTCATTCCCCCACACCACTAACAATGCACTGGAGTATCTAGAGATTGACTTTCCAGGAGAGATATAGAAACTCTAAACCACTTAAGCAGTCTGAATGGCTGAATGTTTACAGGTGTGTTATATTAGCCACTTCGACGTATTTTTTTTAAAATCCCCATAATTTGCCATATGAAAAACATTGCAATTGTCAAAGCAAAAAGAGAGCACACTTTAATATTTTATGTGGCATGCATTTAAAAAGCCATTTTGTGGGGGATAAAGCTATGTTATACCTTAAATCTGCAATTATCAGTGAATTTGTGTGAAAGATAGTTCAGAAGAAAACACATGAATTATCATGAATTTGCTTTTAAAAATTGACCATCAGCTATTCTCTGTATTTTTCCTCTCTCATGTTAGAACTAATGTCTCACTGAGCTTCACAAGTGATACCAGCCCTCGGCAATATCCACTTTGTTGTTGTTTGGTGGTGTTTTTGAAATTGTTAACTTACATTAATTATTGCAATATTGTATTTTTACATAATGATCATATGCCTAGAGTTTTGATAGACATGCTGAAGAAATAATGAAGAATTGAAGAAATAATATAAGCTTTTGATCGCATCCTAGTGCATAATGGTTGAAGACATAGCAATGCCAACTGTGCTAGATGAGATGCAATGAGGAATAAGAATTTTAGATAAGCTAATGGAAATCAGGGTTATATTTTTTTTGTTTGGTTTATTCTTGAAATAGCTGGTATAATAGGTGGCATAACTGTCAAAACATTAGTAAGTATCATGTAAGAAATTTGCCTGCAGTAATCCTGTCTATGGATTTTTATGGTGCCCATCACCAGGATATCTACATGCCAACTTCTTAATTAAAGTAGCCTCCAGTATGTGGACAACTGACTAATAAAATACTTTTGGAGCACAGGTTTGGGTGTTAACCTTTCTGGTCAACCAGTTAGAATAAAGATACCAAGAATACTGCGTATCCCATTTAGCAGTAACTTAAATTCTCAGGTTTTTTTTTTCTTTTATCTTTTAGTGCGTACAACCACTACAGCAGCCAGCAACCTGATAGAGGTGTTCGTTGATGGGCAGCCTGTCTTGGTAGAACCAGGAACTACAGTGCTTCAGGTAGAAAAAATTCTAGACTAGCGTCTGACTACCTGCTGCCCCCCAACCCCTCCAATTTGTAACAGTATATTGTCATTGTGTTACACTTCATGTAACTGAACACTTTGCGTGTCTCATGGCAGTTCTGTGTAGGTGGTTTTGCTGCCCACCAGAGAACTTAATATGGGATGATCCCTTGTAGAAGCTTTACATTTGAGAAAGCAAAATCTGACCTGATTAGCTTAAAGAAAGGTGTGTCAGGAGGAATTCAAATTGATAACTACTATAGTGCTGTAAATGGATTCAGACAAGCTTTAACTAAATTCTAGATCAGCGGTGTCCAATACGTTCGCCACTAGCCACACGTGGCTAATAGGCTATTGAATTGTAGCTTTTTTTATAATGTGGCTTTTTTAGAATGTGGCTAATAAGAAAAATTCAAAACCACAAGTGTGGCTAGCATCAAATTTCTATTGGACACCGCTGTTCTAGATGGTGCAGGTAGAACAGTTACGGTGGCTCTCTTGTGTCCTTGTCAGAACTACATGGGTCACACCCACTGTCTTTCCACGCTTTATATGGCTACTGCTCTTCTTATAGTGGGCTGAGCTGGACTCTTTGAGAGCCCTCTACTCTGTGCTATACTTAATTAAATGATATGCAAGATATAGCTTCCCTTCCTGCCCCAGTTCTTGTAGCTCAGAACTCCATGTATGCCTTTGCTGTAGTTTCACTCTTCCTGGCCTGAGGGGGAAAAAGAGTCTGAAGTCAAAATGGGATTCAAACTTTTCAAAGCTATGCTTAGCATTGCAACTGGGCCACTAATTTTTTCTAAACTAACTTTTTAGGAGCAATGAGAAGGGACCAGATACGGAGAAATGGCACATAAAGTATGCAGCCAGGGCTCATTTCAGAGGGCAGAATTGTGTCTTGGATTCAAGTTACATTCAGATGGTTGTGGCTTTACAATTCCCAGCTAGTAGCCCAATGCAGTATTTCTCTTAGGCTCCATTGTTGCTTAATCAGCTTTACCTCTCTGCTCTACTGACATGAGACTCTTTTTTTGTAGAAGTTGATAGTGAACCAAAAGTTCATATTAATGAATTACTAATTTAATAATAATTATAATTAATAAAGTGACATCTATCTTCATTTTGAATACCTCTGCAGCATCTAGTGGCAGTGTTATTTATTTAGTGTAAATCCAGGATCCAGTTAAATACAGGATTTTTCATGGGGGAGGAGGAGGAGAGGGAGCATCATGCCCCCAGGCCCAGCTCTGCCTCTAGCCCCAGCTTTTCTCCCTTCCCCAGCTCCGCCTTCAGCCCAAGCTTCAGTGCTGAGGAAGCCTTGGCTGTGCAGTAATGGGGTGGGAGGGTGGCACAGATAGATTCTGTTAATGGTAAGGGGGGCGTGACTGGAACCACTGGGCTTGGGGTTATGCTGGGGAAACTGTTCAAAGGCAATAGGTAACTTAGATAAAATCCTTTTTCTAATACAATATAGAAATGTAAAACCTGAGGTTGCATCTTTGTTTGTTTGTTTTTCTGTGTAACTTGTATGTTTGCTTTCCTTTACTATTTCATCTTTGAATATGTCGTTTTTCGATTAAATAAACTTCGTTTATTTTTAATCCTAGCAAATCTCTGGTACAAACTTTGAGTGTGTATCCCACAGTGAGCTGGTATAATAGTGGGAGCTGGTTCTGGGATGATGAACCAATGGGGAACTGTCTGAGTGTCTAGTTGTTAAGAACTTGGGGAGGATGGATTTCGGGAGACTCTGGACTGGAAAGGCTGTTGGTGTCACCAAGAAAGGAATAAGTAGGCTGGTGGAAGCCAGGGTGAGACCTTGTGCTTGTGGGCAGAGTCCCGGTGTCAGGAATCTGAGCCCAGCATTAAGGCATACCAGCGTTACAGGGCAGGCAGTTACAGAACTCCTTACTGATCTGCGTAATCTCCAAAACGTCACAACTCCCAGATCCTTTTCTGCTGTACTTCTGCCCAGCCAGTTAGTCCCTATCTGTGCATTTGATTTTTCCTTCCTGAAAGGTGTAGTACTTTGCGCTCTCTTTATCTAATTTAATCTTGTTGATTTCAGACCGATTCTCCAATTTGTCAAGGTTGTTTTGAATTCTAATGTCCTCCAAAGTTGCTTGGTGTCATCTGCAAGTTTTATAAGCATACTCTCTACTCCATTATCCAGGTCATTAATGAAAATGTTGACTAGTTCTGGACCCAGGGCAGATTCCTGTGAAATCCCACTAGATATGTCCTCCCAGTTTGATAGTGAACCATTGATAATTACTCTTTGAATAGTTTTTCAAACAGTTGTACCCACCTTGTAGTAATTTCATGTAATTCACATTTTCCTAGTTTCCTTATGAGAATGTCATTTGGGACTGTGTCAAAAGCCTTACTAAATTTTCTCAGGGTTTGGGCTTCTTCTGTGAATGTGTGAAGTGGCACTTTGAACCACTATAATCTTCATGGCACTCAGTGAGATTTTAGTGGACATCCATGTCATATTTTACTGTTTTGGGGTTTCTTATGCCTGTCTTTTTTTTTTTTTTTTTTTTTTACTTCATATCTTCTACCACTTTCCAAATTCATTCTTACTTTCCTTCTTCCTGTAAGTCTTATTGGAGCTTTCCTCCCCTGTGTACCTTTCTTGATATAGTGCATACTTTCTTGTGAGTTTGTTACTGCAGAGCAACAAAATACAAATATTCTTTTTATTACTGCAGTTCTTAATACACTATCTAATGAAAAGAGGAGAAGAATTCTTTCTCCTTGGGTCCAATTTTTCTGTCACTCCCCAACTCCTTATTTATCATTATTGACTTGCTACTCTCCCCTTTGGGCAAACTTCTGGAACTAACCCTGCATAAGCCGAAGAGATATACAGTGAGCACACACTCTGTGAAAATCAAAACAATTTTTAATTCTTTGATGAGAAATTTTAGAATTGAAAATTCAGTTGCATTTCAGTTGAACCAAGGTCATAAGAGCTAATTCTGTAACTTAATTTTCTTTATTTCTTCCTTTTCTAGGCCTGTGAAAAGGTTGGAATGCAGATACCTCGCTTTTGTTACCATGATCGATTGTCTGTTGCGGGAAACTGTAGGATGTGCCTTGTGGAGATAGAGAAAGCACCCAAGGTATGTAACTCTTCTGTACTGAAATTGTATTATTTTCTAAGTGTTTGCAGGACTCTACTGAAAACTTGAAGAGTAAGTAATTGCGAAACAACTTGTAGTTATAATGTGGATGTTGCAAGAAGATTATTTTTCTGCATTTATCTACACCCCAAAATGTTATGTCCATTTGTAAAAGAATGGCAATGCTTTATTGCAGTGGTTTTCAACCTTTTTTTCATTTGTGGACCACTTAAAAAACTTCAAATGGAGGTGCAGACCCCTTTAGAAATTCAACACGTGGTCTGTGGACCCCTGTCATAGAAGTCTTAAAGTGAAAACTATCTGAATGGAATTCAGCTACAAATGTTGTACATACTCAGCACGCCATTTGACCAGGGGCAATACCAGCCTCTTCCTGGTGGGGGAACTGACATGGGCCTTAGCCCCTCCTTACTACCAGGCCCTGCTCCTCTCCATGCCTTCTTCTCCTTCCCCTCCCGGCCCCATCGGAGGCCAGAGCTGGGCAGTGCTCACAGCCACCTGGGTTGGGGGGGGACCCAGCTCCAGGACTGGCAGAGCCCTTGGGAGCAGTGACTGCAGGGAGTGGGGCCCAGCAACCTTTGCTGGAGTGGGTCAGTCCAGGCTGCTGTGCGGATTCCTGGGCCCTCCACCTGTGCTGAGCGGTGCATCCCAGTGGGCAGGGACATGGACTGGGGGCTGCTCTTGGGCACCCTGGGCAGGCACTCTGCCTTCAGAGCAGGGCGGCCAGACAGTGGCAGCTGCTACGTGGAGAGGGTGGTGGGGGGGGGGCTGAAGTAAATTTTTGAGTGGCTGTAACCTCACAAGTCCTCCCCCCGACCTCCCCCCGCGCCACCCTGCATTTGAAAGGGCACTAAACTGTGGGATTCTGTGGTAAAAACACCACTTCTGGTTTTGACCTGTCGGTGGGGGTATTTGCATTCTTTTGACTGATTAGAGAAACAGAGTGCCTTTTCTGGCATCTGACACTTTATTTTCATAGGGCAAGTCTACACTACCAGGCTGCATCAGTGCAGCTGCTCAGATACAGCTGCACCGCGGTAGCACATCTGGTGAAGACATGCTATGCCGACAGGAGAGCATCTACCATCGACATAGCACCGGTGTGGATATTGCTTAGGTCGATGTAACTTATGTTGCTCAGGGAGGTGTCTTTTTCACACCCATGAGCAACATACCTTAAATCGACTTAAGCGGTAACATAGACCAGCTCATAGTCACTTTTCGCAGACCCCTTAGACCAGGGTTGGCCGACCTGTGGCTCTGGAGCGACATGCGGCCCTTCAGAGATTAATATGCGGCTCCTTGCCTAGCCGCTGACTCCGAGGCCGGAGCTACAGATGCTAACTTTCCAGTGTGCCTGGGGGTGCTCATTGCTCAACCTTCTGCTCTGCCCCAGGTCCTGCCACCACTCTGCCTCTTCCCCCGAGCCTGCCATGCTCTCACTCCTCCCCCATCCCCACTAGAGCCTCCTGCGCACTGCAAAACAGCTGATTGCGGCAGGTGGGAGGGAGAGGGAGGTGCTGATTGTCGGGGCTGCCGGTGGATGGGAGGTGTGGCTGCTGACTTATTACTGTGGCTCTTTGGCAATGTTCATTGGTAAATTCTGGCTCCTTCTCAGGCTAAGGTTGGCCACCCTTGCCTTAGACATAGTCTGCACCACCTGGCGGTCTGCAGACCACAGGTTGGAAACTACTACTTTATTGTATATCTTTCAGAAATACATGTTTATACTTTGTTATAATCTTTCAAAACTCACACTATAACTGCAGGTGGCCATTTGATATACAAACTAGGGCCCTGAACTTGCCCTGGATCTTGCATGGATCTAACTGAATGATTGGGGCCTACAACTTAGTCCCTGACTGAAATGGCAGTTTTTTTACTAGCCCTCTGTGTTACTGCATTATGTGTTCATTGAAGTCTGTGTACCAAACTCCCATTGACTTCAGTGGTGCAGGATTCAGTGGTGAGCCCTGTGTCAACAGCACAAACTTTTTCAGAGTTGCATTCTCTCCTTTTGGTGCAGTGTAACTTTTTTTTTTTCTTTTTAAAATGAACAAAATAGGCTAAAACCACAAATGAAATCAAAACTCCTAATGATCATGGCAAAATTAACCGCTTAAGTCTCAGATTCTCAAAAAGAATGTGAGAGAAGACTTCAAAACCAAAGTCAATTATGTTTTTACATTGAGTAGATTTTTCTATGTTTTGTGGCAAATACGTTTGTATCCTGTATTTTCTACAAGATGTTGGATTAATAACCAGTATATGTATGAATAATTCACTCTTTGCTGTAAGAGGAGATCTCTTGATGCATTTTCCTATTATGATTGCAGCCAGTAGCTGCTTGTGCAATGCCAGTAATGAAGGGTTGGAACATACTGACAAATTCTGAGAAGTCCAGGAAAGCAAGGTATCTGCATCTGACTTCATGTACCTGCTTATTTTATTATTGGAAGAGAAGGCTGTGTAGTCTATTGCCTAATTTAACAAATATGCAGTAATCAGCTTTGATTTTTTTTTTAAATAAAGACACTTAAAGTACTGCTTTTAACTTTATTTGCAATGTACTATAAAGCTGTCTGTAGAGAGAGTTTACTTTCTAGTTAAAATTTTAAAATAAATCCATGTCCATGCAATTCTTCCCAGTCTCTTGGCTGAGAATGCTAACAAGGGTGGTAGTGATGATCCTGGTGTTGTGATGTGGCTAGGCTACTACATAACCATTTGAGTGTAACAACTTTTAATCACCTCCAAACTGTGGCAAACACAAAACGGTAACCTGGAGATGAAGGCCCATTTCTCATTACTGTTACCCAGGTCATTCAGTTAGCCCAGTCTGTTGTTTTTTAAACACAAATTGGCATTTTAGTGATAATGACACAAGTATCTGTTTTTAATGCTCTGAAGGCTTTGTCTGCCATTAATAGTCTAGACTGCAGGGTAAAAATGTATAACTGTGACACTAACTCTGTAACTACTGACACCAACAGAGAGGGTGTAATGGAGTTCTTGCTGGCAAACCACCCATTGGACTGTCCAATCTGTGATCAGGGAGGAGAGTGTGACCTCCAGGTACAAAGTCCAGTTCAAGTATTTTACACTTCTTATTTACTAACATTTATCTCTTTAATTGTCTTAGGTGAAACTACATTTCTCAGTAACATGGGTTCAACTATTTTTTGTTACCTATTCTAGGACCAATCAATGATGTTTGGCAATGATAGGAGTAGATTTTTAGAGGGAAAACGTGCAGTTGAAGACAAGAACATTGGCCCACTAGTCAAAACAATTATGACTCGGTGTATACAGTGCACTCGGTGTATCAGGTAATATCTTTCTGCTTAGATTCTCCCCCGTTATATTTTTCCATTGGAGAGAATACCATCTTTAAAATATTCATTGTTGCTAATGCATCATGAAAAATGCTAAACCAATGGCATTCAATCCTTGGTCTCTTACGTGATTGCAACCAAGGTGCAAGGAGACATGTTGGTGTCTGATGGAGACAACCAACTGATTTCTCACAAACCACCAAATAACTGTCAGACAGTAACAACTAGAGATGACCAAAGCAAGAAAATTGAATGAAACTCCAAATTCAGAGCCAGCCCTGTGGTTTATATTCCAGAGCAGGTCCCAAAATATGAAGGGACCTTTTCTTCAGGTCTGGTTTGTATGAAACTGTAGTCTGAAACAGCTGTTGTCCCAAGATTGTGACCTCAAGGTGACAGCTGTCTGAGGCTAAAATCTCAGGAGGATAGCTTTTTAGATTTCAGCATCATTTAATGTGAACCTGAACTTTATCCAGGTATGGATCAGACACAGTTTTCTCTGCCTATCTTGTGTGAGAAATTCTGGTTACTGCTTAGCTGGGTTCTATTCAAACTGATAATCAAACTCCATTAAACCAGTTGCCAGTTCCTTGAATCACCTTTCTCCTCCCACCCCAATGAAATTCAGCAAGCTAGTATTCCTATATGTGAACTGTTGCTGGATATGTCTTTGTGTTTATACACACACAGTATAATTGCTTTTTACTATTTCCAACTATTAGTACCATAGAATCATTGTATTATATACATAGGGACTTTCTAATCTATTTAGATGCCTCTCCTTTTTTTTTCTGTAGGTATGTCTTCTCTTCCAGAGACTGATACTGAAAGATAAAAAGATTAAGAATTAAAAACATGTAATATTGATACACATATTTTGTTTTTTACACTTTATTTGCATCCAACAGGTTTGCTAGTGAGATTGCAGGGGTAGATGACTTGGGAACAACAGGCAGAGGAAATGAGATGCAAGTTGGCACTTACGTTGAAAAAATGTTTATGTCTGAGTTATCAGGCAATGTTATTGACATCTGCCCAGTAGGAGCCCTTACCTCCAAGCCATATGCCTTTACTGCCCGTCCCTGGGAGACACGGTATGTATTTTAAGTGGTACATTGAATGCAAGTTAATGTCTGTTTATCTTTCTTATGCTCTTTAATATTTACTCACTATAAATATTCATACTACTATTGTAAGAGAAATTGAAAGTGCTGTAACAGACTTAATTTTTTTGGTTTTGTGTTTGTCTCTGATTTAGATTGAGTTAGTTACTTTGACTGATGCCAAGTCAATTAAATTGAGGAGTACATTCATCCTATAGATGTTGGTCATTCTAAATTACATATGTTTATATCTCTAGCAGTTTGGGAGGCAGGAGGATCAAAATAGTCTCAGACTTCCAGCTCTCCCTAAATTGTGCCAGCGGTTGAATCTACGGTGCTTAAATGAAAGATCAAATTCTACAGTCCAGTGACTGGTGAAAGTCTGATTTACAATATAGCTTAGGAAACAAATCTTTAATGTTAGATATATCTGATAATGCTGAAAACCTACATACAACATTTGTGACCTTTGACTATAGACTTCTATTGCTTTTTGAACAATCACCTAACAATGCATGAGTTGTAGGTTTCTGTGCCTTTTCCTCCCCACAGAAAGACTGAGTCCATTGATGTTCTTGATGCTGTTGGAAGTAACATTGTGGTGAGCACAAGGACTGGAGAAGTGATGAGGATTTTGCCAAGATTGCATGAAGACATCAATGAGGAATGGATCTCTGACAAAACAAGGTACAAGTATATATGTATTGTTTTTAAAGGGGCATTTTCACAGTGTACCAGAAATACTGTCTATAGCACTGACCTCTGAGTTCTACACTTGATATTTTAAAGGCATTGTTGGCAAACTAAGAATTTTTTATATGATGCTGTAAATATATATATTAACCAACTCATGTACTAGAATTTTATATTTTGTAGTCCTTGACTGTAGTAACATTTAAAGTTTTTGTGGCTCACAAATTTGTTTTTATATGTTGAAAGGGTTGAACACCTTCATTTTATTTCCATTAAAAAGGTTCGACTTTTGGGTAATTTATTAGTCTGTCTTCATGATAGGTTATTCATTCCAACTGTTTGTGATATCCGAACCAAAGGCTGCTGTGGTTTTGGTCACATTTCACTCACTCTGTAGACCTCTGCGTCACAATTAATTATATTGCCTGTACTATAAAAGCACATCTTCTTCTTAGTGTTTTTAATAGTGCTCATGTGGCTTTCTTCATACAGGTTTGCGTACGATGGTTTGAAACGCCAGCGGCTTATTGAACCAATGGTCAAAAATGAAGAAGGGCTGTTTGTTTACACCTCCTGGGAAGATGCCCTGACTCGTGTTGCTGGAGTGGTAAGAAATATTTGCATGTCTCTCTCTTTTTTAGGGTATTATAATACTTCTGTGCAGCTGGGCAAATTACTGTACCAGTTGATCTGAAGTCTAGGAAATCAAATAATGAAGACTGGAGACACCCATCTACTGTTAATGTCTTACTTTGTAAGAATAATGTTGGAGAATTATACCTACTTAAAAGACAATTTGTTTCCACTTAACAAAATTCATAGGTAATGAAGAAACTCAGAAAAAATTACTGAGTTCAGGTGTGGTACTTTTTTTTGGAGAACTTTTGGTCCTCTGTTCTGGAATAACTTTATAAAAAGATTTTTTCATTAGATACTGTCTAAAATCTTTTGGATTATTTTTAGCGAAGGTACTAGATTAGATTGTACACTAATGATTATACGAGGCTAATTTTTCTCCTCCCAATTATGCTAACTCCGTTTTAATTTAAATAAAATATTGTACTACTCCTATAGAAATTTAGGAGGAAGTGACTATTCCCAAATCTATTTACCGAGATAGTGCATATCTGAAGATTTTTTTCATGGAATTAAACTGTGCTATCTTCCCCCATCCCCAACCTCCCAAAACAGTTACATTGTGGATTGGGTAGGTCTGGTTTAAAACTTTCTCTGTGCCACTAATTCTTCTGTTAAGATGTTGTACTGCATGAATGTTTCATTGCTCTTTAATAATTGTATCTATTCTTACACCTTTGTTTATCTGTTCTCGTTTTTGAGTACTTTGCGTGGTGGTAGTGATAGAGGATTTGTCTACTACTAAGTTGCAGTTTATTTCACTTTTTAAAAAATGAAAAGACAGGTCAAAATTCTGACTTACGTCATAGCATTTTTACAGGAGAACTGTGATGCTATCTGTACTTTCTCAGATGCTGTCTCTGCTTCATAGCTTATTATTTTGAGTGTGTGTGGGTGAGAGCGAGAGCGTGTGTGTTCAGTTGTTACTTACAGATATGTCAGACAGATCTTGTTCCTCTTTGTACAGCTGCAGGATGTCCAAGGTAAGAATGTGGCTGCAATTGCAGGAGGACTGGTGGATGCAGAAGCACTGGTAGCTCTAAAAGACTTACTGAATAGAGTAAACTCTGACACTCTGTGCACTGAAGAGGTCTTCCCTAATGCTGGAGCTGGGTGAGATAACACAGCCAAAGTTTATACTTTTCTTAATTAAGTTTTCCAATTAGAGAGTATTAATACATTCTTAGAGATCTTGCATATGAATTGTCCAGTAGCTAATGGCATATTGATAAACTATGAATCATTTCATGATAAAATTCTGAAATCTGCCAGGGGTAGAGACATGAAATAAAATAGTAGACCACATCTAGAATATTACTGTTCCGAGTCTGCATGTTAGAGTGGATGGACTGGTAGGTTCTACAGTAATAGAGGTGCAAATCTGATAAATATGGGACAACCGCAGTTCGGTAGTAGAGTACAATAGCTTTTTGCTGTCCCATTAGATTACTGTGCTATAAACTGATCTCTTTAGCCAGCTTTACTTTTGTGTGCTATTGTGAGAACTATACCTGTAGGGCAGCCATAATACTCTGTGTTGATATCGACATAAATCTAGCAATGAAGTTGCATTTTCCAGTCTACGAAGGCTGACAGCATCTTATATTGGTAGACAGCAGAAAATGTCTACATTGTAGTAATTTACTGCTACCCATCTGTAAGTGGGTGTGCTTTTGTTTTGGATTTGGTGTGGTATCATTGGCATCGAGCATTCTCTTCGTTCTTTTTCCTGTCTGAAAAAATAATTTGTAGATCTAAGTTTACTTCACTCCACTGTCATCCCTGCTACTGACTTTACAACTCCTTGTCCCCACTCCTCCTGTTTTTCTGACGTAAAGATAATTTCTTTGTGTTCTTATATTATAGCACAGACCTACGCTCTAACTACTTGCTTAATACCAAGATTGCTGGAGTGGAGGAGGCAGATGTCCTGCTTCTGGTTGGCACCAATCCACGCTTTGAGGCACCCCTGTTTAATGCTAGAATTAGAAAGAGGTTTGTATCTTTATGGAGATGAGGTAGTCCATACTTACAAAGTAGGGGCTAGAGCCACCCATGTACACCACTGCAGTGGGGCTCTGTGTGGGTGCAAGCATTCACCCAGGCAGATCCATTTGCAGGATGTAATCTTAGTTTTTTGTCAGGTTTCAGAGTAACAGCCGTGTTAGTCTGTATTCGCAAAAAGAAAAGGAGTACTTGTGGCACCTTAAGACGATGAAGTGAGCTGTAGCTCACGAAAGCTCATGCTCAAATAAATTGGTTAGTCTCTAAAGTGCCACAAGTACTCCTTTTCTTTTTGCTAGTTTTTTGTGAGGGGTCTGTGTGGGTGTGTGCGCGCACATGCAGACAACAGGGTCTTTTCCCCACCTCCCCCTTCGTTGCATAGATTATATGCCATTAACTCTCTCAACATTAATGGGAGTTCACCTGCTTCAAGGGAAGAACAGACTAATAAAAAATCCTCAGATTTAATTTTTATAGAAGGTTATTTGAAGCAAATTCCTAAAAGGATGCTGCTTTGCGCTATCACTACACAGAGTGAAGTTTTAAAATTATTGTTGCTGTAGTAAGTGTGACCTGATGACTTGTAATAAGTGATGATATAGTTGACTTCATTGCTTGAAAAATAGGAATAAGAAAAGTGATTAATCTGTCTTTGAAAATAAAATGTTTTTTAATCAGATGAAGTTTAGAATTTCATCCATTTTGATTTGGAAAAATACATTTTGGATTTTAAATGTAACTCAGTTGTTTAGTTCATCCAATTTACCATATTAAATTCTAGAATTTAAGAGGATTCAAGAAAAATTACATAACTTAAATCCTGTATCTTATTAGTTATTAATAGAATATGCACTGGTAATTTTCTATAACTGGCCAACAATTGGCTGGGGTAAAGTAAGCCACAAATGGCAACATCTCTTATCTTGAGTTGTACTTGCTTTTGCTTACTTTTTTTAATATAAAGCAGTAGGTTCCAGTCTCCTAATAATAGTGCCAGATTTGAATCTGTTTCATCAGTTGCCTTTGACTAGGTGTGGGAAGGTGTGGGGGAACACCTTAAATTCTTTAGAGAGAGGCAAACATACATATTGCAAATTTAGGAAATATGTACAATTAAATTTTTGCAAACCTCGATTTCCTGGTACCTTTTTGTCATCATTTAATGATATGCCAGTCCTCCTCACTGTTTTGGGATGACCCAATGCACTTAACTGATTTTTTTTTAAATTTGGTGATTATAAAATTTTGATAGAAAAAGGGAAAATCTCTATAACTGCATTTGATGGAATTTTTTAATGGCTTTTTATAATTTTAGTGTAATGAGAGGCTGCAAAAAACTAAAGAAATCTCTGGAGGATTGTATCTTCTTTCTAGTCTGAATCCCTCGCCCGCTCCTCTCCTCTCCCTCCTATCACCCACACTGAAATGGGTAATCCCTAAAAAGTGTGAGGGTGAGTGCTGCCTCACAGAAATGTATAGGTTACTTAGTTTTCCAGGAACTCTCCCCTACTGCATATCATCTTCACTCTCTGTGCAGTTAAGAGCTGAGCTGTAGGTCACGCAGAAGAATATATTTAGTAGCATTCTGAGACTACAGGATATCATAGAATATCAGGGTTGGAAGGGACCTCAGGAAGTCATCTAGTCCAACCCCCTGCTCGAAGCAGGACTGATCCCCAATTAAATCATCCCAGCCAGGGCTTTGTCAAGCCTGACCTTAAAAACTTCTAAGGAAGGAGATTCCACCACCTCCCTAGGTAACGCATTTCAGTGTTTCACCTCCCTCCTAGTGAAAAAGCTTTTCCTAATATCCAACCTAAATCTCCCCCACTGCATCTTGAGACCATTACTCCTTGTTCTGTCAACTGCTACCACTGAGAACAGTCTAGAGCCATCCTCTTGGGAACCCCCTTTCAGGTAGTTGAAAGCAGCTATCAAATCCCCCCTCATTCTTCTCTTCCGTAGACTAAATATCCCCAGTTCCCTCAGCCTCTCCTCATAACTCATGTGTTCCAGTCCCCTAATCATTTTTGTTGCCCTCCGCTAGACTCTTTTGAATTTTTCCACATCCTTCTTGTACAATGATATCATTGTACCAAAGAAAAATCATAGGGCCTAATGCTGTGTGTACATGTGTGCAGATGTTCCATCGAAGGCACTCAGAGTGCGGAACCCAGAATATGTATTATTACTGAAGCGAAACAACTATAGTAAAAAGATTATCTACATGGTAATCACAAAATTGCACTTAATTGTACATGTGCAGAAAAAGGTGAGATTTTAAAAAAAAGAAACTTCTGTAGAATTCCATCAGTATGCCTTGTCATTAGAATCATCATCTTACTGGATTTGGCTAACAATCTTTCCTATGTCTTAACAGTACAGCCCAATCCCATTGGCCTGGGGACATCTAAAACTTTTGAATAACCAGGCATTCAGATAAACAGAAGTGCTATTTTGAATTGCATTTTCACTGACCTAGTCCTGCCAAGCTGCTGTTTCTGCTGAAACAGAATTCGGTCTTGGGGCTGGTCTATCTGAACAATTAATTAGTGGTAAAGTGGCATGTGATTCTACCCAGCACTAGCCTATTGCAGACTAGCTATCCATGTGGACCGTGCTGATGCGCATTCACAGTTTGTGCTTTCATCTGCTTCTGAGATCAAAGTGCATTACAGGGTTCACATGGTCAGTTAGTGTGGGGTAGACTTACAGCTCAGCTTGCTGTGATCTGATTGTGTAAACAAGCCCCCAGGGCTTGTCTACGCTTAAAATGCTGCAGCAGCACAGCTGCACTGCTTCAGCAAAGACGCTTCCTGTGTCGATGAGAGGGGTTCTCCCATCAGCATAGATAATCCACCTTCCTGAGAGATGGTAGCTAGGTTGACAGGAGAATTTTCTGTCAATTTAGCATTGTCTACATTGGGGTTAGGTTGGTTTAACTGTGTCACTCAGAGGTGTGGATTTTCACACCCCTGAGCAATGCAGTTATACTGACCTACCTTCCTAGTGTAGACCAGGCCTCAGTAATTGTAGTTAGTCATTTGGAACTGCTATACAGATACAAACTCATTGATTAGCACTAAGAGGTTAAATGAAGTTATTAACAGGGTGATCAACAGGGCTACGTAGAGGAGACACTGTGGATTTGGATATATTTTTGTATAAATGGAATTCAGAACTGGAATTATACTGTATTTTGTTCTTGCTATATTTCCAGCTGGCTTCACAATGATCTGCAGGTGGCTCTTGTGGGCAGTGCAGTGGATCTGACCTACACGTATGATCATCTGGGAGATTCCCCACAGATACTCCAGGACATTGCTTCAGAAAAACACTCCTTCATCAAGGTATGTGCTTCTTAATAATGCACCTATTCAGATATGTCAGAATATAACTATATCTTTCACTGGTGCAGTGTTTAGAAGCTCTTTCGGAGGGCAGTTTTATAACATTCACTGATGTAGTAATGGTTAAAAAGCAGGGTTTCTCTATAAATTGTTTAATATGCTCACCGTAAAGCTGAGGTTTGAAAGTTCTTTCCAATGTGTGAAACTGAAACATTCATGATCATAAATCTCTAGCACGTGTCCTCTTCTGAGTGAGCTGAGTTGTCCCTTCCAACCGCTGTTGTTTCCAGTTAAACAGTTTCTAGCTGGAAAAGGCCCAGAACAACACTGCTTTGGCCGAGATAACATAAGTCTTTGCTATAGCAACATCTGTAGGTTTTTGCTAGAGATAAAATAGATGGATGATTTCAAAGCTGCAGCTCTGCTTGCTTGAAAGGATAGTGTTTTAAAAACACTGGATTTGTTTTCTTTCATGTTCCATACTACTGTAACACTATTCATAAAAAGAAAAGGAGTACTTGTGGCACCTTAGAGACTAACCAATTTATTTGAGCATGAGCTTTCGTGAGCTACAGCTCACTTCATCGGATGCATACCGTGGAAACTGTATGCATCCGATGAAGTGAGCTGTAGCTCACGAAAGCTCATGCTCAAATAAATTGGTTAGTCTCTAAGGTGCCACAAGTACTCCTTTTCTTTTTGCAAAGACAGACTAACACGGCTGTTACTCTGAAAACTATTCATAAATAATTTCTTGGAAATCCTGTTCTGTACCAAAATTCAATTTCATTGCCTTAGAATGAGAATTCATTCTTTTTTTAAAATTGTGGGTTTTTTCCCCCTCAGGTCCTTAACCAGGCCAAAAAACCAATGGTGGTGGTAGGCAGTGCAGCACTTCAGCGCAGTGATGGAGCAGCTATCCATGCTGCAGTTTCCAGCATTGCACAAAATGCTAGGACAAAAAGTGGAGTTGGTACTGACTGGAAAGTTATGAACATCCTTCATAGGTTCGTTCTACAGCATTTCTACAGCCTTTCTGCTTTACCTACCTGTGGTATATATTAAACTCTTTATGCCAAGTGTGAAGACTTCTCAGTACAAACACACGGGTTCTAGCTTGCCAAGGCTTATATGTGGAATTAAGCAGCACCTAAAACTAAGAGACAATATAACCTAGCAGAAAAGCTTCCATAACCTCTGTTTCATGATTTAGCAAGCATTTCAGCTAGTCACTGGGACTGTTAGCACAGAGGCAAATTTGGGTTTAGAATAGGAGAGGGGTTAACAATATAATACACTATCGTGCCTAGCAGGACATACAGACAACCAATGCTACTTGGTAAGCAAATACTGTTTACATAGAGGAAAGGCAGAATATCAATAGTGTTTAAGAAGACTGGTAATTAATACTTCTCCTGCATTGTATAGTTCTCCAGGTAAGATTTTTGCCTTTTTTAATCAAGTGGTCTACTAAATTAGTGTTCCCTGTTAACCAGGTGTATTCTTTTGCGCTTTGATATTAAAAGATCCGGAAATTATCCAGATAGTCATTTAAACTACTTATTAAGATAATTCTTGCTAATGAGCCTGTTTGCTATCAGGAACTAACTACTACTTAGGGTATGTCTACACTACGAAATTAGGTCGAATTTATAGAAGTCGGTTTTTTAGAAATCGTTTTTATATATTCGAGTGTGTGTGTCCCCACAGAAAATGCTCTAAGTGCATTAAGTGCATTAACTCGGCGGAGCGCTTCCACAGTAGTGAGGCAAGTGTCGACTTCCGGAGTGTTGCACTGTGGGTAGCTATCCCACAGTTCCCGCAGTCTCCGCTGCCCATTGGAATTCTGGGTTGAGATCTCAATGCCTGATGGGGCTCTGTCCTTCATGCCCTGGGAGATTTTGACAAAGGTTTTGGCATTTCGAAAACTGGAATGGAGTTCTGATGGCACGGATTCCTCTCCCCATACAACAATCAGATTCCGTACCTCCCGTTCAGTCCATGCTGGAGCTCTTTTGCGATTCTGGGACTCCATCATGGTCACCTCTGCTGATGAGTTCTGCATGGTCACCTGCAGCTTGCCACGCTGGCCAAACAGGAAATGAGATTCAAAAGTTCGCGGTTCTTTTCCTGTCTACTTGGCCAGTGCATCTGAGTTGAGAGTGCTGTCCAGAGCGGTCACAATGGAGCACTCTGGGATAGCTTGTGGAGGCCAATAACATCGAATTGTGTCCATAGTACCCCAAATTCGAGCCGGCAAGGCCGATTTAAGCGCTAATCCACTTGTCAGGGGTGGAGTAAGGAAATCGATTTTAAGAGCCCTTTAAGTCGAAAAAAAGGGCTTCATCATGTGGACGGGTGCAGGTTTACATCGATTTAATGCTGCTAAATTCGACCTAAAGTTCTAGTGTAGATCAGGGCTAAGGATAACAAGAACCCTAGTTCCATCTAGTCTGTTTTCTGCTTAAGACTGTAACTGAGATACTTTAAATCTGAAACACCTGTTTGTCAATGCCTGTAAAGGAGAATATCTTGAGTGAAGTTACTCTTTTACATGAGTGTAAATCTGGAGAGAGTAACTCCATTGAAGTCAATAGACTTACACTGGTATAATGAGGGAAGAATTTGGTCCCCTGAATATAAATTAAATATACAACACTGATAGCAAAGAGAGAAAATTCACATTAAAATATTGGTGAAACAAAAATAAGTCATTCTCTCCAAATACTACATTTAAAAAGGCATGTAGTATGAGGTACCTTTGGGTAGTCTCTTCTGTATTAAGACTTCCATGCACATACTGTAGAAATCCATAAGAAAGGTCAATCATAAGAAAGTTTGGGTGCTCCAACAAAAGGTGCATTTGTAATTGTAGCAGATAAACATATGTAACTATTTATTTATTTATTTATTTATTTATTTTTAAATGGGGTGGAGGGCACTCAAAAGGGCTCAAGGGTGTAAAGGTCAGTTTCCTTGATTTTAAAACCAAAGTATTTGGAAATTCCATATAGGGATCGTTGGATGGAGGACAAGCTGTGCATTTTTCCAAAAGGGGTAGCAATGTTAACACAGCCTCCAAAACTGTCCAAAAAAATAGCTGATCTAAGCTTAAATCTATTTTTCCCCAGCATTACCCTGTTAACAAAAAAAGCAAACCTAATCTCCTCCTCATCATGGGTGAGTAGATTAATGCAAGGCTGCATTAATGGGACAGAGTCAACTTAACTTAAAAATTATGTTTTTTCTTTTTGAAATGTTTGCCTATTAGTACAGGTAACACCTAATATTACTATAAGCGTATAAATAGACTTTTTTTTTCCTTCCAATTTAATGTATTTGACAACACTCTGTATGGAGAATGTGACATTTTGCAGGTGTACTACAGAAACTCTTTAACTAGGGCTGGCCAGAAAATAAGAATTCAGTTGTGAAATGTTGGTTTTGACCCTTTTTTTTTTGTTTCACATCGGGACAAGACCGATCTTTAGCTATATTTTTTTGTACACAATTTTGAGCCGCACTCCAGAATAGCCAAAAGCCCAGTGGTCAGGATACTCGCCTGGGATGTGTGGGAGACCCACTTTTAAGTCCCTGCACTGCCTGATCCAGGAGAGAGACTTGAACCTAGGTCTCCTGCATCCCAGGTGAGTGCTCTAACCACTGGGGTGTAGCTCTCTGGTTATGACTTAGATGTGAGAGACCTTCCTAACAAAAGTAATCAAAACTGACTTAATTTGTGTGTTTCAGCTAATCAGTATTTTCCAATAAATGTTTCATCAAATTTCAGATCAGCATTACTTTTAACTGTGTTTTTAAAAAAAAAAAAAAAAGACTAAATGTCAAATTGAGATGTATGCCCCTTTTAAAATATTTCAAAGTTGAAAAGGAAATTGTGGGGGAGAACCTGACACTTTATAATCTTTAATAAGTCTGTCTGTCCTTGCAGGGTTGCAAGCCAAGTAGCTGCTTTGGATCTAGGTTTCAAACCAGGAGTGGATGCAATCCGGAAGAACCCTCCCAAAGTACTGTATCTTTTGGGGGCAGATGCAGGTTGCATAACACGTCAAGATTTGCCAAAGGATTGCATTATCATCTATCAGGGTAATTAGAACAAATAATTCAAGAAATACTGCCTCAAACAATTTAACCAGTAGGACACAATTATGAATATGACTTCACATGCTTTTAATTTTTATCATCAGCTTTAGCGCAAAATATTTTTAAACTTAATATGCTCACACGGCACTGACATTCCTCCTTCTCACCTCTGTTGGGAAATGGAAAAAATGTTTGAACTTAGTCACTTCTCCCTGCAGTAGTTATTTCATATTTTAGGAAAACAAACCTTCCCACTGGATACCTGGGGTTATTGGCAAAAAAATACAAATTGGTTTACCCTCTTGATCATGGTGTCAAATCTACTAATGGAAGGCTGTTCTCATTCCAGTCCATGTCACAAAAGTAGTAATTACCAATGATCTAGATACCCATGTTTTCCCACAGCAGTCTTAGCTAAGGCCAAGAATTGAATGGATATGATAGTTCAATCTCCATTTTTGACACTGGTTGTGGTCCAGCTAGGCTACTTATGTTATGGACAAGTAGGACTTTAATCTCCAGGGCTGTCAGTCTTTCCTGAACAGTAAATTTACTCAAGCAAAAGTTCAGAAGAAAAATTCCTTTTTAAGAGGAATACAGTAGTTCTAATGTGTTCATACATCATTCCTCTTGAATTATGCTTACAGATGCCCTATAGTTATTCCTGTGTAGCGTCCCGTCAGAACTTGGCTTTCCTCTTCCCATTTTTTTCCCTCAGGACATCATGGTGATGTGGGCGCTCCCATGGCTGATATTATTCTCCCAGGAGCAGCTTATACAGAGAAATCTGCAACATATGTGAACACTGAGGGCAGGGCCCAGCAGACAAAAGTAGCAGTAACACCTCCTGGCATGGCAAGAGAGGACTGGAGAATTATTAGAGCCATCTCTGAGGTACTGTAACTGTATTAGAAATTGAAAGCTCTAGTAAGAATCTAAATGGAACTTGGAAACTGTTTACAGTACCTTTTTTAGAATGCAGATTTGTGTTCAGGATTGTAGGTACAAAGTCTCATGGGAGTATGTGTGGGACTGAATTAATATGAAGCAAGACTGCCTTTAATGATGTCTGTGGGGTAAATGGGATTGTGTTTTCCACTCTGAGATTTTGACATTATTACAGCTCCTAGATATGCTTTGAGAATGTATAATGGATGACTTTTAACTGCAGCAAATTCTGTTAGCCAAGGCAGGATTCCCTAGAGCAACCTGGAGGACAGACTGGGAGCATGCTTTACTGCTTCCCCGAAAAGGAACAGTGTGGATCCCCTGACAATATGTGTGCTGATAACGTGTGGTAGGGCTGAACGCATCCTAACTGGCCCTAGGAGATATGGTTTATCAACCACAGTCTCTTGTAGTGTTGTCCTGAATGCTGTAGAGAGATCTGACTCTACTGCTTGCATGGTAGAAGAGAAGCCACGCTTCTATCCTTGTCCTTCCCCTCTTCCTTGAGTAACAGACAGACTCCAGCTCTTAATATCCAGAAAACTTAATTACTGGCATCAAGAGATCAACATAATATGTTGCAAATTAAGCACAGGACTAGCACTTTAGTCGTTCACTCCTCAAATTAGTGGAGCTTTTCTCCCTGCTTCATTGTAGATATTTGAGTTAATGTTTAAATACTTAATATGTATTGGCCAGAGGACTAGATTTGATGGAGTCTTATGGCTTTTTTTTTTTTTTTTTTAAGCTAACTGGTGTGACCCTCCCTTATGATAACCTCGATCAAGTAAGGAACAGATTGGAAGAAGTTTCTCCTAACCTGGTCCGATATGATGATGTAGAGCAAGCTAACTACTTCAGCCAGGCGAATGAGCTCTCCAAGGTATGAACATTTAAACTATGAGCATCAAACTATGTAAGAGGCTTGCTTATATGTAGTACTAAGCACACACTGCACTGTACAGCAGGAGAGCGTAGTCAAAAAAGTACTGTGGTAACACAGTCCTGCCTCATAGGTGACTGCTTAATCTCCTAATATACCTTCTTTCTTTTCCATTGCAGTTAGTGAATCAACGGTTGCTTGCTGACCCTCTTGTTCCACCTCAGCTCACAATTAGAGATTTCTATATGACAGGTATGTGGTCATAGCCTTACTTGATGAAAGTAGAATTGTATTAACTCATCTCACTCTTATAGCTTTGCTGTGTTATTTCATTAGAGCTACATTATAACACACAGATGCATAATTAATTAATTGTAAAAGTGCTTCCAGAATATTAAGACCCCTTAAAGGGACACCCACATACACCATGCTTCTGTTTGGAAAATTTTGTACCTACTGTTCTTACCTGAGATATCTAAGATCAGAGGGCTGAATGCTACAGACTTGTAATCCTTATTCAGCCAAAATTCCCAATGAGCTCAATGGAAACTTGTACGAGTAAGGTCTAGAATTTGGTCCTGTATTTTCAACTAAGTGTGTGTGGGGTTTTTTATATTCCTCAGATAAAGATTTTTAGTAAACCATGGGGTTTTATGACTTTAGGTCTCTCCGTAGGTCTATTGGTTGTGTTCTGAAATGAACACTCAATACCAAAATAAATGTCTTTGCAGATCCAATCAGTAGAGCATCCCAGACAATGGCCAAGTGTGTGAAAGCAGTCATTGAAGGTGCTCAGGCAGTAGAAGAGCCATCCATCTGCTGAAGAATAATCACACTGCTACCAAAATCCATCAGATATTCTAGTAATATGTTGGTATGACTAACTTTCAAAAAACAATTATTTTATGGTGTTACACTTTATGTTCACATCTTCATGAAAACAGTTCAGATCACCTAATATGGGGCTATCAGTGTGCTTGGAAATTAAACACAACACTCAATTTATTGGACCTAAAAAAATATGAGTACGGTGATTGTGTACAAACATGATAGATTATTAAAATCAGTTCATTTCCTATGTAAATGGTTTGTATGGCTTGTGATTCTCTTGCATAAAAATAAAGATTTAAACATAAATCTTAAACAAGTTTTTAATGTGACAAAAATTCTGGAAACCAATCTTTTACTTCCAGTGCATCTGGAAATCTCAATTATTTGACACTTTTAAACATCCATTGTAGTTGCAAAGATTCTACCATTGTATACAGAAGGCAAAACCCATGTACTACCACCCAGAGTGACACATGTCCTTCCTCTTCATTCAAATACACCCATTTACAACTCTCAGCACTAAGAACTAATAGATTTGCTGATGCTTGTATTCTTTCATTTGGTCAAGATCGGAAAATACGTGCAAGAAATAAAATCTGTATGGCATGTAGTCTTTCAGTGATGCCTTTCTTAGGTAAATTGCTCTCTATTTAGAAAAAGTGGAAGATTGCCACACACAAAAAAGCCCTCAAAACAAAACCTGAATCACTTACCATGAGGGAGGTTGCAGTGATTAGAGAAGGGGCTTATTCCTAGAGTACTTTAAATCTGGACTTGATCTCTTTTCTCCCTGCATTACTCCATCCTGTTATAGAAGCAATAAAAGATGTAGCTTCAGAGTGACTTCAAGTGTTAAGTCGCATCAACTTGAAGCCCCAAAAGCTGCCAGTTTGCAAGGTAAAGAAAGGAGAGTTTGCATTATCTGAAAACGTTCATTAAATGTGTCAAATATAAATAGCATACTAACTTATTTTGAAATCATTTAAAAAAAAAAAAAAAGACTGCAAGTCATTGATTTTCTGCATCCTTCAAATTCAGTCTTGGACTGAGTACCACCAGCACCGTGGCTGACAAAATATTGTTACAGGCAAGGTTCCTGAAACTGAAAGGCATTTACAGCAGTTTGGGCAAAAAGTTAAGTAGCCTATCCTGTAGTTTGCTCTGTGCAGGCTGAATTGCTTTCAAAGGGTATGGCTACAGGGGGATAAAAACCCCACAGCTGGCCCAGGTCAGCTGACTCTAGCTGCAGGGCTAAAAGTTGCTGGGTAGAGATTCAGACTCGGGTTGGAGCCTGAGCTCTGAGACCCTCCAGCCTCCCAGGGTCCCACAGCTTAGGCTAGAGCCTGAGCCTGAATGTCTACATGGCAATTTTTAGCCCTACAATCTGAGCGCTGAGAGCCTGAGTCGGCTGACCTTTGCCAGCCACAGCCATGCAATGGGGCTTTTATCCTCGTGTAGACATATTCTTATGGGCATAGCTTTATTCTTTCTGAGCCAAAGGTAAAACCATGTTAGTTATGTATAAGTCTCAAACTATTGCATCATGAGACACTTGCTAATTCATCTGGAGTGGAATTTTTCAAAATCACCTAAGTGACTTTTGAAAATCTCATCCCTTGCTCCTGTAGTATGCAGGCTCGTAAAGGTTCTGAGCCTTTAAATTTGAAGATAACATTCTGAACATGAATTTATGTAGTGTTAACTTAGAACAGCTCTAGGAAAGGCATGAACAATTTAAAGCCCCATCCTGATGCTCAAAGCCTGATTAAAAAAGAAGGTAACTTTAACATTGAGTTGCATGCATATATTGCATGTGCAAATGGACAACCAAGGGGCAGAAATAAGTGATCATGAATGTCCCACATCTTTCCCTGCCAAGTGAATGGCTTTACAATGTAAAGCTGTGTTCTACCCATAATCTTTGAAATAGCCACCAATAAGAGCTCTACTGATTGTGTTCAAATGTTTTAATCTTTTGTCTTCCTCCCCTTGCTTGTTCGTTCTTTGTTGCCTCCTGTTTTTTACCTCTTAGAATGATTTTTTGGGATGGGTTTCAGCGAGACGTAGAAATGCATTGAAATGCCTATTTCCACTGTCACAAATGGTGGCAGCTCCTGAGCTGTGTAATGTGTATCAACTGCTACAGCAAGAAAATCCCCTATTTTATAGTTGTGAAATGTGGCTTTTTTGTAAAGGGGGGAGGGTGGGAGAGAAAGCACACACCCAACTGGTAAATCCTAGACATGTTTCTAACTCAAACATATCAGAAGATACAGTGTAGAAGGATACAGCCAAGGTCTAGTAAAACTGATGTACCTAGTGCTCCTCAGTTGCTAAGGATGTTTATAGCCCTTAGCATTAAAAGGAAAGGATTGGATTTAAAATACTTTAAAATGTGTCCCTTGTTTTCCTAATACTGATGTGACTGTTTGGACTCCCAGGGGTGTCACCTGATGTGCTGCGATACCCCTCAGTCTATCCATTCTGTCAGTATAGGTCCCTTTTAACCTGTCTTGCTGAGCCAGGCTCTTAAAAGACAGACACACAGACACAGACACACACAGACACACACACCACACCCCACTCCAGCTGCAGATCAGTTTTGGGAAGACTCATCTTAAGGGCCTTGTTCCAGCACTCAGATGTCCAACTCCCTTGGAGTACAGATCCAAATAAATTTATCAGTCTCTAAGGTGCCAAACGACTCCTCGTTGTTTTTGCTGATAAGACTAACGCGGCTACCACTCTGAAACTGCCTTTATTTCACTAGCATTTTATCTTGAGTTAAGAATACACCTTTTTTCCCTAGTACAGACACAGCCTGTAAGGCTGAAGGGAAGATGTACTGAGGAAAAGGAAGGTTGAGAAGGGTTTGAAGGTAGGTAGGTAGGATTCTAGTACTCTCTGAGGACAAGGAGGTTTTTCACCCTCACCCAGTTACTTCTGCTGCAGGCTGTGTCAGTGTCAAACTGTGAATAAGTTGAATTAGAAGTATACTAAAGAGGAAAAAATATAGATGAGTAAACTAACTCACCCAAGCCTTCCCTTAAGCTTCTTCCTAAGAGACACAGTGCAAGCTCCCCCTAGGTCAAGGGGGAGAGGCAGCAAAATCCCACCTCAAACCTTGACTCCAGACACATGCCCCACACAATATTTGCAAGAGAGGGCCAAGCTAACCCCCAGCAAAAACATACTCTCCTGAGAGAGAGAGAACATTTTCTTAACATTAATTCCTAGTGTTGGCTTCTGAATCTATGTAAGCAGATGAAGTCACGTAGGTTGGAAAGGAGGGGACTGAAGACTGAGCCCTAAGGGCCACAGATGCAAAGAGGGGGAGGGCAGGAAGAATAACCATCAAAGGATATGCTGAAATAGTGGGCAGATTGATAGGAGAGGAAGCAAGAGAGGCCAGAGGCATAAAAGCCAAAGAAAGACAGTGTCAAGGAGCAGGTAAGGAGTATCAACAGTACATGAGACTCAAGGCCTTCACTTATTAATAGCCTTAAGGTACTAATACACCAGGACACATTTTTGATCCAAGTGTCCTTTGAATGATAATTTCTGAACAAGTTGTCATGTCATTCAGGGCAGTTACTATTGGCATAAAACAATCTTTTACATATGTAGATTACTCTCACCTCCAACAATCTGCACACAACACCAATGAAATGCAGGGGTGGAGGGATATAGGCTGCTATTGCACAGCACTGCAGTGGGGAGGAAGGCAATATTTTGTTCAAGGACAAGCCTCCTGCTCTTTCAAAACGTGTCTTTTTAAGAGCTATGCAGTGCAGAGTGGATGTTCAAAATTTTGTCCAAAGACACTACATGGTATATTACATGGTGCAACAATCTGTGTCCTTTGAAATGATGGAGTTCAGTAAAACTTGTAGTTTCAAGGAATCCAGATATTTAAAAGTAGATGCTTATACTTCCTAAAAATTTAGTGTTAAATATTTTCATGCCTGGATTAGTAGTTTACAAGTCTATGTGGAAAGCTTGATATTTATGTACGTACTTTGTGCATGCATCCATAACCAGTAATGCTAAATAAATCTGCTACTAAATAATATACTTTCTTCTGGCAGCACACTCATCCATTCTGCTACAGTGCAACAGTGTCTAAAGCTGAGAAAGCCGTGGAGACTCTGAGGCCTTTCCCTGCTCAAACCTGCTTCCATTAAAACAGTCATTATGAGGCATATAGTAGTTATGTAAACGGAGAACGCTTTGGGGAAGCGTAATCTACATTTAAGATCAAGAGAGATTCCAAATTTTATTTTAGTATTATAATACAGTTTTGAGCATGCTTAAATACAATTTCAAAGGAAATTAATACTCGATTCAAATTACTTTCTTCTTGTCACCCTTCCCTACACCTGTTGGCCTGTCTGAATTAGCATATATATGAAAAACAAGTGCATCCAGGGGACAAATCCAGCTAAGAACAGAAAACTTTGACCCAGATCCTCAAAGGTATTTAAGCTCCTAGCTTCCATTAATTTCATTCCAAGTTAGGAGCCTAAATACCTTTGAGGATCTGGGCCTTTACATTTAACAAATAACCCACAAAAGAGACCATTAAGGCCTTGCCTCCTAGAACCTGGCTACTCCTCATGCTTTAGGACATACGCCAATCTCTTAACAGTTTATGAAGAAACTTCCCCTGTAGGCAGTTTGCTATAAAATGGTCTGTTATGGAGCATTTTATACCGTCCCCTGAAGCATATGGTACTGGACTCTGTCAGTGACAGGATATTGGACTAAATGGGCCAGGGGTTTTACCCAATATGGAATTCTGATGTTCCTAATTTGCAGTAATGACAGAGACACCCACTGTGAATGACTGAAATTTATGATTTAATGCATAGTTGAACTAGTAGAATAAAAAACCCACAAAGGATAATAAGGCAAATAATGTAGTTTATTAATTTCAGTGATTTTAATTTAGGAAATATCAATAAATGTATACAAATGTTCTAGTAAATACATTAGTATATTTGAATTACAAAATGGAAGTTTTACTAACATAAGACCTCATTACAGTGTTCTCTTATGATTTTATTACCTTGTTTACTTTCAATTTACAAAAGTCTCAATAGATGCCCACCCCATGATCTGGAAGACATTAAAACATAGTAGTATTCACACTATTACATCTTTGCTGAGATTTAGGGGGACAGTGCTAATATTTTTTTTAATGTGCATTGATTAATGAAGTGCAGATTAGCGAGGTTCTACTTAATGCTTTTAATAACTATTCAATTATCAACTAATTCAGTTATGTGGAAATTAGAATGTAGGCCTACTCCCAAGCGGTTAAACGGTTAAGTTCTAAGAGCTTGATCCTCCCATTAAAATCAATATCAAAATACACATTGATTTCAACGGAATAGGATCAAGACTTAACAGCCGATGGACATGCAGTTCACTAATTCTTTTCTTTGTGTCAGTTTGCTACTACATATGGGTCCTAATACAAAGCCCAACAAAGTTAATGGAAATAATCCCTTTGTATGGGTCTTGGATCCCGTTCAGACACTTGATCAACAAGTCATCAGTCAGAATAGTTATCTAGCATGAAGAATTCTACTGGATTAAAAGGAAGAATATATTTGCAATAAAAATAACTATAAGGCTCTGGATATATTTGATAGCACATAACTACTTATTCATTTACATACTGCAGCTTTTCAAACTGGTTTAACTCAGGTGAGTTGGGGCTCCTCTCTTCCTTGACAGTGTCACAATTCCTAGCAGGACAGATGGACCAGACTCTAGTGACAGCTATAAACTACTTTGCTG